ATTATATGGTTCTTTGTTATTGAATGCAAGTTTTTGAAATCTTCTTTTTAAATAAAATAAGATTTTATTTTTATAAATAGCTGTAAGTAAGAACTTTCTTGATAAATAATATTTAATGTAAAAAAAAGTGTAACATTCACTCAGCATGATAAATAAGAACAGGAGATATACTTTCAGAAAAAATTTTTTATGAATATATAGAGACCCATTACTGGATGTTTTCCGTCGGATGTCATCTATTCCGAATATATCATAATCAAATCTCATTAATACAATTTTTTTTTCAATTTTATTCAACATTTATACAAAACAACATAGATGATTTTAACATAAAATTTTCTAGTCCAATTGAAACTGTTAAATCTTCATTTTATCATAGAAAATTTATCTACATAAAAGAACTTTTTTAACTTCATTTCGAAATGTTTTTGATATAAGTAAATTTCCATAACAACTAAGACAAGATGGAATCGTTATACTAAAAAGACATAAATTTCTAATAATATTTTCAATCTGTGTTTGATCAAAACTTTTAACATCATTTTGTGTTATTTGTTCATATATAAGAAAGATTGCAAGAACGAAAGTGAATAATGTATAGGTAATAATATCCAAAATTAACATAAAAACAAATTGTCGCTCTTTTGAAGAAGTCGACTGTAAATTATTATTCTGAGCTGTTCTTGTTGATTCATTGGTAATAGCCCCGATACGGCGTATCTTTCGAATATTATTTAATGAACATAATCCACATGTAATCATTAATACGATCACTAGAGTTTCGGTAATAATTGTATAATAAGTTATGAAATTAGTTTCAATACCTGGTTGAAAATAACAAACATAAACATAAGGACCAAATTGTAGAATAGTCGCGAAAATCAATGTATGACTATGGAATAGTGCCCAAAATATTGTACCAGTTACAATACATATATAAGCAAAACGGTAAGTACTTCGACGTCGTGTCATAGCATTACGTGAAGTAATAAACATTCGATCGATAGAAGCCAAAATTAAATAATATTGATTTAAACAATGAAGTAAAATAGCTGCGTAAAGCTGTAAATGGCAAAAAATTAAGTTATGTAAAGCAGGGTTAATATTATATCCTAAACTGATTACTGTATATAACAACTCACAATAAATATAGAGCAAATTTACAACATTGTACGCAATGAAATAAATTGAACATGGACTTTTTCGTAAAGTTTTCTGAGAAAATATGATTAAATTCAATATACAACCCACAGTACCTATGAAGACCAAGACTGAACCAGCAATTTGACATATATATGTTTGTGCTAATTGCATACCAACGACTAAATTCGATGAATATTGGAAAGACATCTAGATGTTCGATTTTACTAAAGAATAAAGAAAAAACTTTTTCTTACAGTGTTTGTTTAGAAAGAAATGGTAATATCAATTTATACTATTCTAATAAAAGTGAAAAGAAATGAAAAGAGTAGATGTACTTTTTTAAAGGGATTCATTAGGACCTAATATCTCAAAAACGACAAATCTGTCTTGAAAACTTAGGATAAGAATGAAGAAAGAGTACATTGGCCTACAGAACATTTCAAACTAAACAAAATGAAGAATTTCTTATTTTTGATCTGACTATGACAGACCTTAAGATGAATAGCGCAGAAAGAAATTATTTGAATTAGTCGAGAGATCCAAAAATATTAGTGACACAACGGGGCGAAAGCTCATTGGAATCAAATAAACCGTTGCAAATCACGTAAAACATCTAATAATGGGTCTCTATATATTCATAAAAAATTTTTTCTGAAAGTATATCTTCCGTTCTTATTTATCATGCTAAGTGAATGTTACACTTTTTTTTACATTAATATATTATTTATCAAGAAAGTTCTTACTTACAGCTATTTATGAAAATAAAATCGTATTTCTTCATTAAAGATTTCGAAAGAAACTTTGTCTAACGTTTGTTCCAATATTGTAAAAAGGATACATTTATGTATTTCGGTTGAAGGTGATCATTTCGAACAACTGTTGTAAACAAATTTATATGAAAACAAACTTTAATAAATATAGAATAAAACTATAAAAGGCTCGCGCTGGTCACTTAGACGTTTCGAAAGATATTTACATTTCTTTTTCGACCGGACTTTTACGACACCCTGTATTTTGTTATTAAATAGATGAATAATAATAAAACTGAATTAATATCTAGATCCATTCTTAATCAAACTGATACAGTTGACAGTTAATGTTCATACATTAATATTCATTCATATCTATAAAAAAATGATTCAATTGTATTCTGTTGATACAAAACAGTGAAACATTGGTTTTCCTATTAAATCCAAATAGAAGAAGCAATATTACTAATTAACGTGATTAATTTTTCTATTGGATTGCAATAACCTAATCAAACTAATCAACTAGCTATCATAACTAATCAAAAAAACTATTTGTTATCTATCTTCATGATGTACATTTAGAGTCAGGTGTGTCTAAACGAAGATGAAGGATCAATATATTACTTTTATTCTCATCTTCAAGCAAGATTAAGAAATTCCCATGTCTACAATGAAAAATATAAAAATTATCCTAAGGAATAATCCGTCACCGTAAGATATCACTCACTACATATCAAAGCTTTAATCAAATAATTACTAAATACTGCACAAAATGTAACACATTATCATTAATTATAGCAACATGGTCTGAAAGTCTGATACTAACTTCTTTCATAATAATTCAATGGAAATTTAAATTCTTATCATTAAAATGAAACACAAATAAATAAATTACTCCATTATATGGTTCTTTGTTATTGAATGCAAGTTTTTGAAATCTTCTTTTTAAATAAAATAAGATTTTATTTTTATAAATAGCTGTAAGTAAGAACTTTCTTGATAAATAATATTTA